ATAGGTAGCCAGTTTCCTGAAGTACAGAAAAATGGACACATTTGACTAATTGATAAAAAACAACTACATTAATGCCTGGATTGCTTTAAAATACTTTAATATTAAGAGAACAAACTGTTCTGTCAATAATAAACATACAATATTCATCATTTTAGTATTAAACATAAGAATATGCGGAAATTGTGATACTGTCTCCCTACATTGGATTTTCAACTAGGGATGTACTTCCTTTTTCCGTTTAGCAATACACTCCTATGACCTTAAGCTTAGACGATATCAATCTGACAAAGCTCAAACTGACAATATTTCGATGTCACAGATGCCTGAGATGGGTCCGCACAGTGATCAAATAAGTGGCGATATTAGGAATTGATCTGGATGCTTCCAACATTAGAAACTATCAACTGAGGTGAATTTACTTACACATATACTTTATTATCCATGAATTTCCACGAACATGACGAATACGCCGCACATAACAAGGCCGAGACTAAAAACAACCGAAACCCGGGTTAGAATTACGACACATAACATTCCTTCTATGCCATACGAATTAAAGTTTTTTCATATTACTAATGCATGAATGATCCATGACAAAACAAAACGTGACGAGTCCAGCTACATTACTGTACTTTCCGTCATTATAAACACCGCATTCCTCCAATCGGGTGTCAACCCCGGCCTTTCCGGGCCGTTCTCCAGAATCATCATCTCTTGACTTCAACGTACACTGTTATTAACTTTCTTATTGTTGAATCGCCTAAGTTAAATTATAGCTCATTCGCAAATTTAACCACTGTTTCTTCAATGTTTTTATCAACAAGGTTGCTCAAGCCGGATGAAGCGGCCGTGGGAAAAATTTTACGTGAATTAGTTTCGAGATCCCCGAAATGACGTTGCGATGTTACGTCATATTAGTTCATTAAATTTATGAATGAATGAAAAAAAAATGTAATTTAAACGATGCTTTTTGTTTTCCTTCCCATTGATAGTGATTTGGAATTATAGGGATTGAATCTGGACTTTTCCAGTGTTCATGCAAGTATGAACGGGTACAAATTTACTTACACATTTATCATGAATGCCCTTCGCTTCGCTACGGGCGCTCATGTGGTGTGTAAGTACATTTTCCCCCGTTCATACTTGCATGAACACTGGAAAAATCCAGATTCAATCCCTATGTAGCTCCTGCGCCTGCGCGAACGGTTTCTTCGGAAACCGGTGGGATAACTTCACACAAGTGAGCGAAATCCACGCATGACTGATTAAAATGAAAAATACTGTTATCCAATATAGAGTTCACTCCCAAACACAGTAGCAACTGAAACGACGCATTACTACCAACGATACCTGATGTTCCTCAAAGTAACATGTCAACCATGTTTTGTTGATTGTCAAAAAACACGCTCGAAAGTTTGTTATTAGTTTAACTAAGGTCAGAAATCAAAGTTAAGTTAGCAGTTACGTAGATTTGATACACGGCCCTCTTCCTTTTGTTGTAAACACCTACACAGTTTGATAACACAGCATAAAAAAGTCAGGAGGAATGTTTATAACCATTTTGTTGCCATGTATAACAGATGCATGCTAATTTTTTTTTACCATTTTGCTGTATATCTTAGTTACAATGTAATGACGATGGTTACAATTGACTAAGTGAAATTAAAATAAACTAGCTTGCTTTCTAATATATAATATAATATCTAATATAATGAAATATAATGAAATAGATATATCTGATTGAAGCTGTAAAGTATTAAAATAATCAATAATCAATGGCTCCCTAGCTACATGTAACGGCCTTAAAGTGTATAACTATATATAGGACGCACGTTTGAACTCGGGGTTCTATAGTCACATGTTCACGATCTTTAAGGAATGCCCTTGTTAGCTACTTTTATAAGTCCAGCATATTTACACCCTATAGAAAAGGATTAAAACTTTCTCTCGCATTTTGTGTGCAAAAATCAAAATAATAATAGCGATTCTCCATCAACCCCGGATATATGATATGTACAAATATGAACGAGTTAACCGGCGGCGTCTTACTATGCCTAGTATATTGACACAAGCCTTCAAAATGACGACTAGGGTTTCTCTTCATATGACCTTCAATGTTGGCTGTGTACATTTGGACAGGTTAACGACGAAATGTACACATAATGTAAATCTGTCATTAGGACGTCTCCCAATCATACTATATGTATACAGTACACCTCCTCAGACTTCCGACCTCAATGTATACAGGTCTGTATATATACACAAAAATTAAAACAAAATAGCATAATAAAAATACAAATGTTTTCATTTGAGATTTTCATACAGTGTGCAGAGTGCGGTAACTTTACCGAAAATAATGGATTTTAATGCACGAATCAAAGATAAACCTCACGTTTTCATATCAAAGATTTATAAAACCTCACGTTTCATGTTTATGTTGAACCGAAGATTTCGTGAAAAAGATATCTTTATATATGATAATAGTTCAAACACTAATACGAAAGCACGTAAACACACAATACACGAGAAGAAGATTGAGAGACAACACCACCTCCTGTTTGATGTCTGAACTCATGCTGAGGAGCCAGAACTATTTTAGCAATGCCATAGGTAGTCCGCAAGATAAACAAGTCTGCAAAGTCAGATAACAGTCGAGGCAAGATTATCTAGATCGAAATCCTGAGCGTGCATCACTTATCTTAAATAGTGTATGATATACACGGATCTTACATAACACAATACTCCAGAATAGTTGTCCTTATGTTTGTAAAAACGTCATGGATATCCATAAGGAAACTTTTAGGGAATATCTTCACTAAGAACAGAAAATAAATTAAGGTGAAGGTTCGAATATTATTAATAACACAGAGGGGGCAATGGAGGAGGAAGTGATCTCAATTTTCAACAGGATCACACAAAAAAACACAAGCAGTGTTTTCATTTGAATTGGGAGATTATCGACACATGGTTATATTTCCTTTTTGAGCATCGTACATTTTACAACTACAAGTATTAGTACATGGTTATCTAGCATCTATATGTAGTCTGTACAAAACATCTTTATATGGCTCTGACTGATGTTATTTTAAGATTATTCCTTTCTGAGATAAGTTTCGGGAAAATAGTGTCATATTAATGTCTTCTTGGCACCGGCACATCAAATACATTAATTAATCTAGTGTTACATTGTACAGAAAGGAAATAGTGTCGAGTGGTATTATTGGTTATTGGTGTATGCTTGAATTGAGTCTTGCGCATGAGATCGACATTGCCTGTTCAAACTTTAAGCGAACTGTATTATTTTGAAGCAAATGCCTTCTTTTACTAAGTGTAACATATCCAGTCTATATCAGATAGTATGACTTATACAGAGTGCTTCAAAATTGGATGCACTGCAAGACATTACACTCCCTCTGTGTACAGTAAATAGTAAAAAAACAGATATTTCATTCAGGTCACGATACATCTTTCATTGTTAACGAGATTATTATTATTTACATCTTGAATTTAATTAGATTCTTACTACGACGCGATTGGCTATATATTAAATCACATATATAATATATGGATTTTTTGAAATACAGGACCGCAATGGCTCCATGAATAAATGCTGGTTCGGCACACTGTTGTACAGCATTAACACGCCTCCTTTATGTATACGATAATTTTGCTGTAAAAGATCAAAAACTATTATCCGAGTTAAATTGGGAAGCAATATTCCATTTCGACGGTTTAATAATTTGATTAACATATCAGCATCAATGAATTCAAAATACATGTGTAATGCAATACATGTATGCGTCTTTTAAGCTGCATGAACTGAAAATGAACTGTATGCAATTCATTCTGCATATCACTGCAGTAAGGTTCAGCAATTAAATGTATGTCATAAAAAAAGATAGATATAATTTCATTCGTTTGAGGTACGAATTAGACTGAATGTTTTCTCCTGTGGTATATGCGTGCCGCATGAGGCAGCATGTAGAGCCCGTGCATGCGTCGCGCGGGTGGGTATGTAAGGTGTTAGGTGATTATTCTAAATGTTTGAGGATATTTCCTCTTTGTATCACTTTAACGAAACTGATACGCGATTACGATAAGTATAGCTAAGTAACGCTATTGATGTTGATGTACATTGAACTTGAAAGGATTTGAATTGAGTGTATATTGAGGATGCAATGTGTTGGGGTTTTTTTTGTAATAAACTCAGTACGCGGCGTGGTCGTGCCGTTGCAGTACGCGGCGTGGCCGTGCCGTTGCAATTGTGACAATCGGGCACAAAAGGTGCAACAGGGAAAGTATCACTGTAGTAAGATTCACCAGGAATGTCATAAAGATAGTATGTATCACTGTAATAAGTTTCGCCAGGTATGTAATAAAGATACTACAATTCACCAGGTATGTAATAGATTCACCAGGTAGGTAACACTGTAATAAAGATAGTTTGTATCACTACAGTAACATTCACCAGGAATGTCATAAAGATAGTATGTATCACTGTAGTAATAAGATTCGCCAGGTATGTAGTATCACTGTAGTAAGATTGCACAGGTATGTAGTAAAGATAGTATGTATCACTGTAGTAAGATTGCACAGGTATGTAGTAAAGATAGTATGTATCACTGTAGTAAGTATGTAAGTATGGATATAATAAAAGGCCTACCAGCACAATAGAATTGTGCAGTATGGATGTATTCAAATATTGCACATATAAACACCGGGAAATTAACCAGGTATACGATTTTCTACGTAGAGGACACCATAGGCAATAAGGTATTTTTATATTAATAGTTCACACATGTGTGTATTTTCAGCCAACTCCGCCCTTTACAACCTAAACCATTAATCCAATTGCTTAATTGCTTAAAATTACAATTTTATATTTTAGATGTTAATAAAAATATAAAGAATCATAGTTATAAAAAACGTGTTGTTTTCATATCAAGCTGTATACACATTTTATCAAAAATGCATTAACTCGTTTCAAATAAAATACTTACATATATGTTGTCATTTGTGTAACTCTCCTCAAGGCATCGAAGCAAGATATCATTGTCGAAATGATCTAACGTAGACAAGTCCTCTACGGTGTTGGAAGCCATGAAGAATGTTTTAAGTGTATCTCGTCACTGATATCATTTGTCAGAAGATTCCATCTGTTGTCTTGAGTTAATACATCATGTTAGATCCATAATTATCCCCTATAAACCACGTGTTTGACGAGCGAGGGCAAGCACATCAAGGTGTTTACGTGTAGCCGCGGTTTTAGACGTTATAATGTCCTACTCAGGGAATCTGCCTCGGTCTGTAAACGGCAGGCTTAATCTGAAATTCAAATACCGAATATTAGGCTAATACTTACAAAGCAACTCCAGTAGGGAGGTCTTGTAAATGTATACTAGTACTGTCTACGAAATGTAACATTACTCTGTATAAATCCGTAAAACGGATAATTCCGTTGGAAATGATAATATCAGCAGCGCACAAATGTTTCTACACTTGTTAAATATTGACAATATTAAGGTACCGTGTTAATAGGAAGTTAAAATCTTAAGTTCTACGGCAACTTTAAAGATTCCGCAGATCAAGTTCAGTGATGAAACCCATGATGATCGTGAAATTGTGGAGACTGAGTGAAGATGTCACTGTGCATGCGCTGATAAAGTTTCTAAATTCCGCGAGTTCACAAACGAGGGAAAAACCCGGTGTTCGAACTAGGCGTTATCATGTCTACACATATCCGAAGAAAGAAACAGGTGTAAACGTATGGAGTTACCTGCTCGATCACCTGGGCTTTCTGCGGGAACTCCGGTTTACTCACTTATTAAGACCCACTGCGCGCTATCCCGTCCAGACCAACGAGAGGGATTAATATAAGATTATGACAGGACATGTGCTGCCATTGCAATAAAATAAATACAGTTTTGATTTTTAATTGAAGATAAATTCAAATTCCACTACAAAAGAATTTACAAATAAAACTTGTCTTATCTGATACCAATCAATTTGTTTGATATCAAATGATGTCGGATTACACAGGATTTACTCTACATGCAAAAGATGTCGGATTAGATATACATTTGTATATCATCTTCATTGTAAGTCAAACACAATGTCAGAAAAGACACGATTCCGTATATATCCAATATAATGTCGGATTAGACAAGATACACTTTATATCCAACATAATGTCGGATAAGACAATATTCACTATATATCCAACATAATGTCGTATTAGACAATATTTATTATACATACACATGATGCCGGATAAGACAGTATTCTTTGTACATATCACATAGTTTCGAATTAGACAGAATTCACCGTACTTCCAACATGATGCCGGATTAGACAGGGTTCATTGTACATATCACATATTGTAGAATTAGACAGAATTCACTATACTTCCAACATGATGCCGGATTAGACAGGGTTCATTGTACATATCACATATTGTCGAATAAGACAGAATTCACTATACTTCCAACATGATGCCGGATTAGACAGGGTTCATTGTACATATCACATATTGTCGAATAAGACAGAATTCACTGTACTTCCAACATGATGCCGGATTAGACAGGGTTCATTGTACATATCACATATTGTCGAATAAGACAGAATTCACTGTACTTCCAACATGATGCCGGATTAGACAGGGTTCATTGTACATATCACATATTGTCGAATAAGACAGAATTCACTGTACTTCCAACATGATGCCGGATTAGACAGGGTTCATTGTACATATCACATATTGTCGAATAAGACAGAATTCACTGTACATCCAGCATGATGCCGGATTAGAGAGGGTTCATTGTACATATCACATATTGTCGAATAAGACAGAATTCACTGTACATCCAGCATGATGCCGGATTAGAGAGGTTACATTTTTACTTTTTACATAATCTCGGATTAGACAGGATTCGTTGTACATATCACATGATATGACAAAAGTCATTATACATACATATCACATGATGTCGGATTAAACATGTATCACTTATTTTGTCAATTTAAAAAAATTGGTATTTAACACATAACAAAGAACGGATGATGAAGCAAATGGTGAAATTGGTGCATATATGATATTATCCGTCACACTTATGCGTAGACAAGGGTAGATTTACCCAATCAGTATACAGGAAACGTTTATTATGGGTGTCATTGATATGCAGGACACGAATACCAACCCGACATGATATATACTGTTTTATTTTTTGTTAATAATTTCGGTACATGAATAAGAATTTCACGAAATCATCTTCATTTTCTCATCATTGCTAAAATTAGGTGATGACAAACCACCTTATATAGAAAAAAAATGTCAGGGCTATATTTGCTTCCCAGTTCGACCGACCGACTATTTACGTATACCGGACTTGGGTATCGAGTGACATGTTAGGAGCAATAATGTATTACCGACAGACACAACATGCCTTATATACAGTACTGCCTTGTTTACAGTATCTCGCCTTGTTTACAGTATCACGCCTTATTTACAGTATCACGCCTTATTTACAGTATCTCGCCTTGTTTACCGTAACTCGCCTTGTTTACAGTATCTCGCCTTGTTTACAGTATCTCGCCTTATTTACAGTATCACGCCTTATTTACAGTATCTCGGATGGTTTTGCAGTATCTCGCCTTTTTTACTGTATCACGCCTTATTTATAGTATCTCGCCTTGTTTATAGTATCTCGCCTTGTTCACAGTAACTCGCCATATTTACAGTATCTTGCCTTGTTTACAGTATCTCGCCTTGTTTACCGTATCTCGCCTTGTTTACAGTATCTCACCTTGTTTACAGTATCTCGCCTTATTTACAGTATCTCGCCTTGTTTACAGTATCTCGCCTTATTTACAGTATCATGCTTTATTTACAGTATCTCGCCATGTTTACAGTATCTCGCCTTGTTTACAGCATCACGCCTTATTTACAGTAACTCGCCTTGTAAACAGTATGTCGCCTTGTTTACAGTATCTCGGATTGTTTACAGTATCTCGCCTTGTTAACAGTATCTTGCCTTATTTACAGTATCTCGCCTTGTTTAAAGTATCTCGCCTTGTTTACAGTATCACGCCTTATTTACAGTTACTCGGATGGTTTACAGTATCTCGCCTTGTGTATCTCGCCTTGTTTACCGTAACTCGCCTTGTTTACAGTATCTCGCCTTAGTTTATAGTATCTCGCCTTGTTCACAGTATCTCGCCTTATTTACAGTATCTCGCCTTGTTGACAGTATCTCGTCTTGTTTACAGTATCTCAGATGGTTCACAGTATCTCGCCTTGTTTAAAGTATCTCGCCTTGTTTACAGTATCACGCCTTATTTACAGTTACTCGGATGGTTTACAGTATCTCGCCTTGTTTACTGTATCATGCCTTATTTTCAGTATCTCGCCTTGTTTATAGTATCTCGCCTTGTTCACATTATCTCGCCTTATTTACAGTATCTCGCCTTGTTGACAGTATCTCGTCTTGTTTACAGTATCTCGACTTGTTTACAGTATCTCGTCTTGTTTACAGTATTTCGCCTTGTTTACAGTATCTCGACTTGTTTACAGTATCTCGCCTTGTTTTCAGTATCTCGCCTTATTTACAGTATCACGCCTTATTTACAGTTACTCGGATGGTTTACAGTATCTCGCCTTGTGTATCTCGCCTTGTTTACCGTAACTCGCCTTGTTTACAGTATCTCGCCTTAGTTTATAGTATCTCGCCTTGTTCACAGTAACTCGCCATATTTACAGTATCTTGCCTTGTTTACAGTATCTCGCCTTGTTTACAGTAACTCGCCTTGTTTACAGTATCTCGCCTTAGTTTATAGTATCTCGCCTTGTTCACAGTAACTCGCCATATTTACAGTATCTTGCCTTGTTTACAGTATCTCGCCTTGTTAACAGTATCTTGCCTTATTTACAGTATCTCGCCTTGTTTACAGTATCACGCCTTATTTACAGTTACTCGGATGGTTTACAGTATCTCGCCTTGTGTATCTCGCCTTGTTTACCGTAACTCGCCTTGTTTACAGTATCTCGCCTTGTTAACAGTATCTTGCCTTATTTACAGTATCTCACCTTGTTTAAAGTATCTCGCCTTGTTTACAGTATCTCACCTTGTTTACAGTATCTCGCCTTATTTACAGTACCACGCCTTATTTACAGTTACTCGGATGGTTTACAGTATCTCGCCTTGTGTATCTCGCCTTGTTTACCGTAACTCGCCTTGTTTACAGTATCTCGCCTTATTTACAGTACCACGCCTTATTTACAGTTACTCGGATGGTTTACAGTATCTCGCCTTGTGTATCTCGCCTTGTTTACCGTAACTCGCCTTGTTTACAGTATCTCGCCTTATTTACAGTTACTCGGATGGTTTACAGTATCTCGCCTTGTTTACAGTCTCTAGTCTTGTTTACAGTATCTCAGATGGGTTACAGTATCTCGCCTTGTTTACAGTATCACGCCTTATTTACAGTTACTCGGATGGTTTACAGTATCTCGCCTTGTTTACTGTATCATGCCTTATTTTCAGTATCTCGCCTTGTTTATAGTATCTCGCCTTGTTCTCATTATCTCGACTTATTTACAGTATCTCGCCTTGTTTACCGTAACGCGCCTTGTTTACAGTATCTCGCCTTGTTAACAGTATCTTGCCTTATTTACAGTATCTCGCCTTGTTTACCGTTACTCGCCTTGTTTACAGTATCTCGCCTTATTTACAGTATCGCGCCTTGTTTATAGTATCTCGCCTTGTTCTCATTATCTCGACTTATTTACAGTATCTCGCCTTGTTTATAGTATCTCGCCTTGTTCACATTATCTCGCCTTATTTACAGTATCTCGCCTTGTTTACAGTAACTCGCCTTGTTTACAGTATCTCGCCTTAGTTTATAGTATCTCGCCTTGTTCACAGTATCTCGCCTTATTTACAGTATCGCGCCTTGTTTATAGTATCTCGCCTTGTTCTCATTATCTCGACTTATTTACAGTATCTCGCCTTGTTTATAGTATCTCGCCTTGTTCACACTATCTCGCCTTATTTACAGTATCTCGCCTTGTTTATAGTATCTCGCCTTGTTCTCATTATCTCGACTTATTTACAGTATCTCGCCTTGTTTATAGTATCTCGCCTTGTTCACAGTATCTCGCCTTATTTACAGTATCTCGCCTTGTTTAAAGTATCTCGTCTTGTTTACAGTATCACGCCTTATTTACAGTATCTCGCCTCGTTTATAGTATCTCGCCTTGTTCACATTATCTCGCCTTATTTACAGTATCTCGCCTTGTTTAAAGTATCTCGCCTTGTTTACAGTATCACGCCTTATTTACAGTATCTCGCCTTGTTGACAGTATCTCGTCTTGTTTACAGTATCTCGCCTTGTTTACAGTATCTCGACTTGTTAACAGTATGTCTTCATTTTCATAATATTTACCTTGATCTGATAGCATTATAGAGCACTCAGTTGTACTGATTAATTATCAGTGTCACGTGTTGGATGTAAAACGTGTACTTTAATTGATCAATGTTTTACTTTAAGTTATAAAAAAAACGTCACACGGGTCACTTTCACACAGTTAAGTTATCTATGGGGTTGATATGAAACAGAGTATAATTGGTTTCCCATTGTCTTCCAATATCAACACATTTATTTAATCTCTAAAAAGGTCGGGGAATTGATGAGAACACTCCGAATAAAAGTTTGTCAAGTAATTAAATGTTCAT